GATCAACACCCACTGCATGCACAGCAAAATCAGGCCTTCATTCTCCTGCTCATCAAAGATGTCCTGACCTGTGCCGGGCAGAGAGAAGGAGCGAGATCACCTTCAATTTTAACCTAACCTTTGTCAGGCCAAAATTGATACTTGTGAAATATTGTCAAGACTTTTCTAACAGGGCCACACTCCGGGAAGTTCAGAGGAGTGCCCCACTGCTTCGCTTCTTCTCATTGGACTTGGAAAAACCAAATGGGGGATACACCTGGACTATACAGGTGTTCAAGCCAGGTCAAAGGCAAGGTGTTTGGGGGAAGGGTTCCTGCATTCTCTTCTATGATTGCCCTGACTGCCACTGTCAAAACTAAGACCACTTTACTTCTGAACCAGCCCGGTTTAAAGTCCTGTAACTTACGTGCATTAACTTCACACCTGTAGTGTCACACCGTGTAGACAAGCCCCTAATGAGGGAGGGGAGATAAGGGAAATTGAGGGGGGAAAACCTCTGTTAATTCCTTCAGTTTCCAACCCTGATATTCTATGATTTCACATATAGTGCCTCTCTGTCATTCCTATCCATTTTTGTACCCTGGTATTACCAGGCCCCATTCATTATCATTGTTTCTCTGATGCCTATTATCTCAATAGCCTCATTTAATACCAGGCACTCAAGTTCACGCATCTTAATATTTACACTAATTGCATTTGTATACTAGCATTTATGAAATTTGTCAGTATTTAATTGTATGCCTTCATGTGATGTAACTGAATGGCACTCTCTCATTTGACTGTTTCTTTTCAGTTCCTACCTGTACTTTATCAACCTCTATCCTCTGCTCTTTACTATGATACACAGAATCCCCTTTAATAAATCCTCCCCTAAGGGACTCTCTGTCTGAACCATGTTTTCCTGCGCACCTGTCGGCTTTCCCCAGCCCTTAGTTTAATTTGACATGCCAGCAATCTGGTTCTGTTTTGGTTTAGGTGAAGCCCATCCTTCCTGTATAGGCTCCTCCGTTTCCAAAAGGTTCCCCTGTTCTTAGTAAACCTAAAACCCTCCTCCCTACATCCACTGGGACCCTGCAGTTCTGCCTGTCAAACTGATCCTGTGCATGGAACTAGAAGCATTTCAGAGAAAGCTACCATGGAGGTCCTGGACTTTAATCTCTTCCCTACCAGCCTACAGTACTTTTGGCCTCTAGGACCTCTCTTCTACCTGTCTCTATGCCACTGGTACCTACATGTACCATGACCACAGGCTCCTCCCCAGCACCGCACATAAGTCTGTCTAAGTGTCTCGAGAGGCCTGCAACCTTTGCAGCCCGCAGGCAATTCACCATGCAGTTCTCCTGGTCATCGCAAACCCAGGTGTCTATATTTCTAATAATCAAATCCCTCAGTATTGTTGCCTGTATCTTCCTATTAACTGGGGTTCCGTCCCCCAGGGGGGTAGCCTTAGGGTGAGAGGATATCATGACACCATCTGGAGGGAGGGTCCCAACGATGGGATCATTTCCCTCTGCTCCAGCACGATATTTCTCCTTCCCCAAGACTTTCATCTTCCTCAACAGCACAGGTGCTATCAGACTAGGAGTGGGACCGCTGTACTATGTCCTGAGAAGTCTCTCCTGTGTACCTCTCTGTCTCCCTTAGCTCCTCCAGTTCAACCACTCTGGTCTCGGGATCCTGTCCTCAGTCTCTGAGGGCCATGAACTGCTTGCACCGAATGCACACATACACCACCTGCTGACAAGGCAGGTAATCGCAATAAACCGGATGCCCCCACGTTGCTGGACCTCTGCCTGCATTCTTTTTACTCCTGCAGGGGTTTTATGTTTGTTTGTTCGTTCGTTCTTTGGGTTTTTTGTGCTTGTGCTGGAGGAGGGGTGGTTACTGGCCTAAATTTAGAGAATGTTTGTTAGGTTACTCCCTCTCTAAACTCCCGCGCAAAACTGCCCTGTTCGCTAGCTCCTTTGGTCACTTAGGAGCTGGCTTTGTACACCCCTGTTCTCCCTGAGTCAGCCCTGCGCCCTGGTCGAGGGATCCTAACGGGATGAGGGATCAAAGGATGGCAGGCAAGACGCTCATTAAGAAGCTTTCAGCCTTGCTTAGTAGGCCACTAGGCTCAGCACACAGCCCCAAAACAGACCACACTATAAGCTTCAATCAAGCAGGTCGGTACACAGCAAGCAAGCAAGCACGGTAGTGCATATTACATATTTTTGCATATGCAAATCTGGTATTTGCATATTTTAGGCATTGTCAACTGTTTTAGGTATATGGATACTTTGGGAGAGGTAACAACAGAAGTACGGAGCTCTTGTACCCTAAGGCGCAGAAACAAAAAGGCAAATTAAAAGAACCTCACGGGTATTTTTTTTTTTAATTTCGTGCATCACTCAGGACTTTTTAATCCTTATGGTTAAGAACATAAGAATGGCTGAACTGGGTCAGACCAAAGGTCCATCTAGCCCAATATCCCGTCTTCCGACAATGCCAGGTGCCCCAGAGGGAATGAACAGAGCAGGTAATCGCCAGGTATCCATCCCCCGTCACCCATTCCCATCTTCTGGCAAACAGAGGCTAGGGACATATATCTTGGGGTTGTATATGTATATGAAGTAAACATTACACTAGAAATTTGAAGGTTGTCATACAAGTATAGTGACCTCAGGTCCAGATTTTTAAAGGTATTTGGGCAACTAGCTGGATTTTCAAAAGCATCTGAGTTCTTTCAACCTTTAAACAATTGCCTTTAATGGCTATTTGGGCAACATGTTCTACACAAAAGGAGTAACATGGGAAAGAGCATGAATAGGGAGCTGGATGGGGAGGCTAAACAACAGTTGACAAAGGCCACCCCCATTGGCGGATGAAAGGAAATGGAAGACGTTTTCACCCCAACCCAGGAAATCAGTCCATCAGCCTCAAAGCCACATTATCCCAAAGAATAAACATGTGTATATAAAAAAAGATCAAAATGTTGGAGTTTAAAACTAACCCTGCACGCGAAACAGGAAGCGCCATGCCACAGCGAGAGGCAATTGCTGAAGCTACTCGCAACTTCATATTTTCAACGATTAGTTGCGCAGTGGTGCAGTGACAGCCATCTGCACAATGTTAACGAAGGCGAAGGATGACGTGCTAAGAGTAATAAAAATAACATTTTAAGAAGTAAATGATTTAAAAGGGTGAAACACCATTTGAGTGGCTGATGAGAAAGAGGCCATCCATTCAGGCAACTCAGGCCTCAGTGGTTCAGGAGGCAAATTAGCGCTCAGCATTATATATCTATATATATATAATTCTCACAGCAAAACGACTGACCAATTGGTTAATAACATAGTAAAAGCATCCTGACTGGTTAATAGGGTGACCAGAGAGCAAGTGTGAAAAATCAGGACAGGGGATGGGGGGTAATAGGAGCCTATATAAGAAAAAGACCCAAAAATCGGGACTGTCCCTATAAAATCGGGACATCTGGTCACCCTACTGGTTAATAACTTAGACTGGTTAATAATTAAATCACGCCGTGTTTTAATATCAGGTGCTGCAAAGAGCCGGGGGAAGCAACATCAAGGCGCCACTCCGGAGGCTCAGTCTGGGTGTCGCTGAGATAGCCGTTCAGACAAACGGCTGTACCGCTATGGGGCTTTCTGCCCGCCTATAAACTCATAGGGATGCTTTCAAACACCAGCATTTAGAACCATTAGACTGTTTGGAGGCGGGATTAGGGGAAATAATTTCAGGGAATCCAGCTGTCTGGGTCAGCTCAGTGCCTGGGATCATCCAGGGAAGAGGGGCCTCGTCTGGATGCCCTAGGGTGACCAGATGTCCTGATTTTATAGGGACAGTCCCAATATTTGGGGATGTTTCTTATATAGGTGCCTATTACCCCCCATACTCTGTCCCGATTTTTCATACTTGCTGTCTGGTCACCCTAGGGTGCCCTGAGCCTGGGAAGTGGGTGCGGAAGCCCCTCTGCCCCACCCCTATTTTTGCAGCCACTGCAGGGGGCTCACCCCAGCTGGGTCAGGGCCCCCCCCAGTCTGGGCAGTGAGTGGAGTGACAGCGCAGGAGGATTCCCTGCAAGGTCCTGCTGTGGCCGCAGGCCGGATTTTTAAAGCGATTTCGGCCACTAGGGGGATTTTCAAAGGCCTCTAGCGGCGCTTGTCCCCGGCGGGCCCCTGCCCCGAGTGCCGGGCGGGGAATCCTGCGGCTGCCCCTCCCCCAGCAGCGGCAGCAGCCCCGGGGCGGGCGGAGCCGCAGAGCGCGTCGGGCAGCAGCAGGTGACCGGGCCCCGGCCGTTGCCAAGCCGCGCGGCCGGTTGCTAGGGGCGGGCCCCGGGCCGCGGGCTCCTGCAGCGGCGGCGGCCTGGGAAAGCGAGAGCGGCTCGGGCCCGAGCTGCCGCTGACACCTTCACTGCTCGTACGGGGGGCGTGTCTGTTCTGGGGAGGGGAGATGTGGTGGGGTGTGCACGGGGGGAGGGTGCATGCGGGTGTAGGGAGGTGGGGAGCTGTGTGGGTGGGTGCATGGGGGAGGGTGCATGCGGGTGTAGGGAGGTGGGGAGCTGTGTGGGTGGGTGCATGGGGGAGGGTGCATGCGGGTGTAGGGAGGTGGGGAGCTGTGTGGGTGGGTGCATGGGGGAGGGTGCATGTGGGTGTAGGGGGGTTGGATGGGATTGGAGTGTGGGGGGTGCATGTGGGTGGGGAGGAGTGTGTGGGGGTGCACGGGGAGGGGAGGTGTGCATTTGGGTGTAGGGATGTGGGTGCATGGGGGTGGGGAGGGGTGCATGCAGGTTGGGTGGGGAGGAATGCGTGTGGGTGCATGGGGGTTGGGTAGAGAGGTGTGCGTGCGGGTGCATGGGAAGGGGAGGTGTGCATGTGAGTGTAAGGGGTGTGGGGGGTGCGGGTGCATGGGGGTGGGGAGGGGAGCTGTGCGGTGGGTGCATGGGGGGAGGTGTGCAGCATGCTGGTGCATGGGGGTTGGGTGGGGAGGAGTGCACAAGATGGGGTGATGCACAAGTGTGTCTGGTAGGGTGGAGCTCTGACTGCAGGGGCAGGTGCGATCTGGGTCAGGACAGTTCTCCAAAATTGGCCTTCCAAGCAGCACCCATTGCAACGAGCGCGATTTTAGGTGTCTCATAGGGACTCACAGGGCAAAACCCATCCACACCAGAGGGAGAGTTTAAAACCTGCCTCCAAATTCCTATAACATGAGGGAGCCTTTATCTGAGATACTGCAGGGATGGGCGAGAGAGAATCGCCATGAGCTCTTAGCAATGTAGTGCCTATGACACACAGTTGACCCATTGTGATTCCATCCAGCAGAGGGCGATGCTGAACATGTACAATAGACACAGTACAGTACTGACAGCCCCTCTGTAGAGAGATGAGAGGTGACTTGTCTGACATCACCCAGCAGGCGAGGGCAGAGCTGGGAACAGGACCCAGGAGTCCCTACTGCCAGGCCCGCTCACTAACCCAATTGCTTCCCTTACAGGCGAATCCTTTCGCTGCTGGCACTTTGCCCCTGCGGGTGGAAGCCGGCACGATGGCCACGGCCAGCAGCTGGGCGTGGAAGCCCATCGCATGGGACGCCCTGCTTGCACGCGCCTACCACTCATGCGACGTGGTGCAAGGGAAGCTGCTGCTCTTCGGGGGGCTGAAGTCGGGCGAGCCCAAGGAGCCCCCACTGGGGGACGTGGTGGCCTTTGACCCCACCCTGCTGACGGCTGAGATAGTGGGCCCCGACGGCGGGTACCGGCGCAGCCACCACGACACGGCGGTGCTGGCCGACCGCTGGCTGTGTGTGGTGGGGGGCTGGGACGGCGCCCACAGGGTCTCGGCCGTGTGCTGCTGGGACACCGAGCAGGGACAGTGGGAGCGCTGGGCCGAGGGGCCCTCCAACGACCCCCCTGTGGGGCTCAGCAGCCACACCTGTACCAAGGTGTCGGAGCATGAGCTGCGGGTGGTGGGCAGGGAGGGCGGGCTTCGCACCCAGCGGCGCTTCGCCAGCATCTACACCCTGCGTGTCAACCCCACCACCAAGACCTACTGGTAGGTCCCTTCCTCCCCGACTGGGCTCTGTGGATGCTCCCCCCCACCACCACCACCCTGCAGGGTGGCATCTGATTAAAACTGGGTAGCGGGTTTGAATTTGGATGCACCCCTTAGAGGGATTCACCTGTGGGAACCCCAGAGCCCTGGGCTGTCCCCCTGAGATCCAGGCTATGGGGGAAGGGGCCATCGGGTCTGTGCCCAACACTGGGGAGGACTGTGCCCTAGAAATGGCCATTGCCGTACCCGCTGGGCATGAGATCTGGATTATCAACTCCCCGAAGCCCAGGAAAGTTGGGATTTGGCCCATGTGGATTCCACACCCCCAAATTTAAGGTGCTCAGGTCCTAGGGCCCCATGTACTGGGATGCTCCCCTAGCATCTCACCCCTGGGCACTGTGAGTGGGCTGGGTGGCCCATGCCAAGCACCCGTAACGCCTCTCTGTGCTCTAGGTACAAGGAGGAAGAATCGCGGACAGCCTCTCGGGCCGGACACTCGGCCATGCTGCTCCGTGACGCAGGTGGCTACCAGCTGGTGGTGTTTGGGGGCCGTGACTCCTCCGACTGCGAGGTGGCCGGGCGCTGGGGCAAGGGGAAAATCCACGTGAGTGTCTGGCTCTGGACTGTCACTGCCCCAGAATGAGCCCTTTGCTCCTGCCCCACTCCCCTCAGAGCCCCCTGGTGGGAGATGCCGGGACTGGAGTAGCTGGGAGCTCGCCCCACAGCCAATGCTCCTGTCCCACTCCCCACAGGGCCGCCTGGTGGAAGAGGCCAGGTCTGGAGTACAGTAGCAGGCAAATCCACAAACTGACCCTCCTTTTTCCCTTTCCTTCCTCCTAGGTAGAGTCCATCCATGCCCCTAAGCTGACAGAGCAGCTCTCCCGTCTGGTTGGCTCCGAGAATGGCTCACGGCAGGCTCCGAAAGGCCTGAGGCACCAATCCTGCACGGTGGTGGGTCCCTTTGCGGTGGCTTTTGGTGGGGAGACCCTAACGAAGGGGCGAGACACCGTCTGTAATGATCTCTATGTCTACGACACAAGTAAGAGAGGAGAGCACGGGCGTGCGCGTGTGTGTGTATGTACTACTGCCCTCCACTGGGTGGAATCAGAACTGCTGAGTCTGTGTGTCACAGCCCCCGTACTGCACAGAGCTAATAGGGAGTCTCTTTTAGCTCAGGTGTCAGGTGTTCATACTGGAGACAGGAATCCTAGTGTCACATCACTACACCCATGGGGGCAACCTTTATGTCCCCGCAGAGCTCCCCGCCCCTCTAACCTCCCTCTAGCCACTTTCTCCTTGATGCTGAAGTGCAGCCTCTACAAACTACAGTTCCCAGCATGCATCACTCCATCCTGCTCGCCATTGTACATTGCCTCTTGGGAGCTGTAGTTTCCACAGGCTGCCCCTGGGGAGTGAAGATGAACCTGACCGCTCAGACTGTCCTCGCCCGTCAGTTCGGGGCGGATCTTGCAATCCGGTCGAGCTGGCGATCCAGACCTGGGCTGGGCATAGTTTGCAGCCTCCGTTCTCCGCCAGCCTTTCCCAGCCATGGTATGACACAAGGGGAGGATTTCAGAGCTTGGCATTCGCTGATTTGGGTCTGGGTTCCAGTGTTGCCACCTCTCACGATGTTATTGCGCGTCTTGCAAGATCTGCTGCTTTTCTCAAAGCCCCGGCTCCTGGAATCATGAGATTAGAGGCGAAACACACCTCTGACCTTGTAAAAAAGTCAGTCTCTAGCCCTCCCAGCTGCAGAGACAAGTGTGTAAACGTGTGACCCCTGAAGCCTAACAGTGAATAGGAAGAACCCAAATTGTATTAGGGTTTTCTTTTGAATGTCCTGATTTTGGGGCCTGGCTTGGGATTTTTGAATGGTCAGGGCTGGCAATGCTAGGACTCTCCTTTATGCTAATACCCTGTTCACCACGCACTGCCGGGGCCCGAGTATTGTGATCTTCCTGTGCGAATCACGAACTCCAGGCTGGTTATGCAGCTAGCTGACTCCATCACCTCAAATGTCACAAACCCAGCCAGGAGTGGAAGAATGGCCTGGAAGGAAGGATGGCCCAGTGGCTAGTGGGCTAGCCGGGGCCCTAGGAAACCTTGAATCAGTCCCCATTTGCCACAGCTGCCCTGGGGGACCTTGAGCAAGTCACAGGGGCCTAGATTCACAAAGGTACTTTTAGGCACGTAGACAAGCCCACGGGCACATGCTGCGATTCCCAAAGCCACCGCTTGCCCCCAGGCTCCCTACATGCCCAATGGGGAGAGTCATCTTGGACTGACATCCGCAAAAGCCAGCCGGCTAGAGTTAGGCACCTAGGCTAGCCAATGGGAGATCCTGACAAGAGGGGTGTGTCTTAAGCCCCACACCTTGATCCACAGCCACCTTCTTTGGAAGTCAGCACCTTCAGCTCCTTGTGGCAAGGGGATGCGGGAGACCCCTCCCTTATACCTCTCAGCCCAGCAGTCAAGCAATGTGGGAGACCCCAGTTCACATCCCCCCTCCGCCCGATATGGGAAGGGATTGGAAGAGCAGTCTTGCACCTCTCAGATTTGCATCCCAAACTGTTGGGTTACGAGCTATTCTGATGGGGGGCACCCTCCACCTCTCCTGTTGGACCTGTTCATTGTGAGTTGGTGTAACGATGCTGGTTTTGGTGGGACACTTCTGAGAGTGTCAATTCAGGATAAATTGCTCAAAGCAGGGCAGTTACAGCCCAAGGCAAACCAAACCAGCCAGCCAGAGAAGACTTTGGTTTTACCCCACTGGCTAACCATAAGTCACACAAGCAATTCCCTTAGACACTCCAGTTTCCCAGTATCACCACCAGTGCCACTCGTTATGGGGACAAAAGGTTATGAAAACCAATACCCCAGTAAAAGAAAAAAGGTTCTCCCGATCCCGAAGGACCAAGCCCCAGGTCAATATACAAATCAGATCTTACCCACAAATCACACTGTTGCGAATCCTTTAGAATCTAAAAGTTTATTCATAAAAGGAAAAAGATATAGATGAGAGCTAGAATTGGTTAAATAGAACCAATTCCATACAGTAATGGCAAAGTTCTCAGTTCAGGCTTGTAGCAGTGATGGAATAAACTACAGGTTCAAATCAAGTCTCTGGAGTACAGCCACAGCTTGGATGGTCATTCAGTCCTTTGTTCAGAGCTTCAGTTTGTAGCAAAGTCCCTCCAGAGGTCAGAAGCAGGATTGAAGACCAGATGGAAATAAGGCAGCTGTCTTTTATAGTTTTCAGAATAGCAGCCGTGTTAGTCTGTATCCGCAAAAAGAACAGGAGTACTTGTGGCACCTTAGAGACTAACAAATTTATTAGAGCATAAGCTTTCGTGGACTACAACCCACTTCTTCGGATGCATACCTTTTATACATTAAAAAAAAAGTTACAAAAAAAGGTAAGTTGCAAACTTACAGAACAGGTTAGTGTCACATTCTCTCCCCAAACTTGTTCTTCAAGATGAGTTAGAGAAAAAGAAAGAGGCGAAAGCCGTGGAGAAGCTGGAACGTGGCTGGGGATTCAGTCTTCCAGGTGTAAGGACACCTCTTTGATCTTACTGTGGAAAATTACAGCAAAATGGAGTTTGGAGTCACATGGGCAAGTCACATGTCCATGCATGACTCAGTTCTTTACAGGTGGCAGCCATTGCTTACATGCTATCTTGAAAGTTCCCAGGAAGACTTCTTATGTGGATTGGAGTCTCCCAAGGGTCATTGTCCGTTAAGTGCTTCTTGATTGGGCACTTAATTTGCAAATTCCTTTCTCAAGAAGCTGACCGAATGCTTTATACTAAGGCTACTTCAGAATCAAAACACATTGATACACAAGTACATAGCCAATATTCATAACTTCAACTACAAAAAGGATACACACATACAGACAGCATAATCATAATTAGCAAATCATAACCTTTCCATAGACACCTTACATGACAACCTTTGTACAATATTTGCTGCAAATATGTAACAGTGGTTGCACCAGTGATCTATACGGTCATAGGTTATGTTAATAACGTCACAGTTGGACCACAGAGAGAAAGTAGAAGCATGAGGATGGCTGTGTAGCCTGGTGGTTCGAGCACTCACCCAGGACGTGGGGATCCAGTCCCCTGCTCCACTGACTCTTTAGTTATCGGAAGTGCACCAGCCACACCAGGAGAGATTGACGAGCCCCATCTCAGACTGTCCCATAACCCAGTGGTTAAGGTACTCGCCTGAGAGGTGGCAGATCCCTGTTCAAATCCCTTCCTTTACTGGGGGAGGAGGGACTTGAGCCAGGGGTCACTCAGGCTCCAGGTGAGCATCCTAACCACTGGGCTAAGAGTTTTAAGTGGGGGGAAGGGGTGTCTTGCTCTTCAACCCCCCCCCCTCCCCCAGCTGCTGTGTGTGAACTCACCTCCAGGGCCCCCTCTGGTAGGCGGCCTCTGAGCACGCCTGCCGGATCAGAGCCTGCCTGAGAGGTAGGCGGCTTGACGTCTGTCTTCCCCGGTTCATGAATCGCCGCGGGGCTCAGATGGGAGATGGACGTCTGCGCACCTACAGGGGTCAGCAATGCCTGTGTCCAGAGGCAGGAATGCAGACGCCGAGAGAAATTTTGCCTGCAAATATGTCGGTGCCAAGCATAGTCGCCTATGGGGCCAGTGGGAATTTGGTGATTCGCAGTGGAGCCTTAAACTGGGATTTAGGTGCCTAAATACAGATTTAGGTGCCTAAGCCTGGGGTTTAGGCACTTTTGTGACTCTCAAGGCTATAGTCCCTCCATTCCTCACCTGTACAATGGGAGTAACAGCCCTGCCTGCCTCCTGGGGGTGTTCTGAGGATAAATACATCAAACATTGGGGGGTGCTCAGACATATGGCGGCAGGGGCCAGATAACAAGAGCTTCAGAGAGCTAGAGCAGAGCCAAACGTGCCTCAAAACACACACAGTTAAATAAAACGTTAATATTTCTCCTGCAGTCAATAAAGGCTTATTTTGTGTAGGGTTTCAATAAAAGCCAATTTCTCTTGCTAATAACCAATGAAAGTCTCCCTTGCCCTCCCTGGAAGCTGCTGCTGGTCATTTTCATAAGGCAGCATCTTTAAAAAAGAAAATACTTTCCATGCAATGTTATCATTCCCCTGTGGAACTCACTGCTGCAGGATACAGTGGAGGCAAATTGATTAGTGAGGATTACAAAGAAGGGATTGTAACATTGATACAGCTGAAGACAGCCCCTGCAGTCACAGTAGCCAGGAGAAACTTCTAAGGGTTTTCAGTCCTCATGCTTCAGGGTATGAGCTGATTGGCGGTCAGGAAGGAATGTATTGCATGGCACAGGTGTGGTATGTTTGGCAAGGGGAGGGTCCTGGTCATTAATATCTGCCTCTGTAGGTTTTGACAGTGGTCGCTGTCAACAATGGGAGACTAGACAAGATGAGCCATCTGGAGGAAGCAGGGTACTAGTCCCTGCTGCATGGTGCCTCTGATCATTTGAACTGTAACCACTCTCCTATGAAAAGAGCCATCATCCCCATTTCACTGATGGAGAAACTGAGGCACGAGAAGGTCACCCAGGGCAGGGCTGGGGTTAGAAGCCAGGAGTCCTGGTTCCCACTCCTCCCTAAATCCCATTCTCCCCCTGTTTTTTATTTAAATCCTGGAGGAGTCCCAGGACCATATCTGTTTTGTATGAGCTGTCATCTTCGATGTGCAATAGCTGTGACCTGGAGAGCGGCCTGGGAACTAACCCAGCAAGAGAGGCGGAGGGAGCTGGGCATTGACTTTGGCCCGGCCGTCTGAGAGCATCAAGCTGCTTCTTTCCTATTGTATTTTCCAGGATGCTCGCCACCGAGCTGGTTCCGCTTCCCCTGCTCAGATCGGGGCCAGAAGAGAGTCGGGCACCGCACATGCCTTTGGAACGACAAGCTCTATCTTGTGGGGGGCTTTGGCCCAGATGGGAAGACCCCCTGCCCTGAGATCTGTGTCTTAGAGATCCCCTAGTGAGGAAGAGGAGAGAGATGAGGACGTCCCCCTCCTCGCTGGCGCCCTCCCCACCTTTTCCCTGGCAATCTTGCCGCTCCTGCAATCAACCCTGAGAGCCAGCTCTGTGTATATGTAATAAAAGTGCCCCTTGTTGGCCCAGCTCCCCCTCCTCTCCGCAGGGAGCTGCACGCTGGCATCAGGGATTTAACTCAAACACAGAAAGAGATTGGGGAGAAAAAGTTTCTTTGTTAAAGAGTCAGACACCCCTCCCCCCGCCGGTCCCTAGGAACACGCAGTCGGCTCTCTGCAGCCTCCAGCACAGCCAGGAGAGGCCAGGTGTGGTGGTGCTGACATGTCGCGGGGGGAAAAGAAACCAAACATGGCTGAATGGGGCAGGTCCTGGTGATTTGCCGAGAGCGGGGGAAGGGCAGGGAGCTGTTCTCTTCCCCCACGGATCACCGTTAAAATAAAGCCTTCCACCCTCTCGAGAATTCAGCAGAGGAAATGACTGGCCGGCCCGGCCCTTGTCTGAGGCAGGGCCGGGAAACAACCTGGTGCTAGACAGCCTCGCTCCCCTAGTTTGTGTGTGAAATGAGGAGAGCGAACGGGCGAGTGCCTGCACCAGCAGCCCCCAGGAAGGTGGCTGCACCCTCCAGCACCCAGACTGGTTTCTCCGAGGTTTCAAGCCGCGCTGTCGGCGGATCGCTTAGTAGGACCAACCCGGCCCTCAGCTCATGCCAGGAGAAAGGACCTTGGCTTCCATACAGCTCTCACGGCACCACAGCCAGAAACTTTCCCACATTCGTATGCCAAGTGAGCGCCTTGTAAAATTAAAGAGTCCTGTGCTGAGACAAGTCCCTGGCCAAAGGACTTGGCATTAATCACCTCCTAAAAATAACTCGGGCCCGTGTTTGCTTCCCCATTCAGAGCATGATATGATGGGACATCACAGCCTCTCGGACTCTTCTGCCAGCCACGTGGTCCTGCAGATGTACCCCACCCTATGGGGGGCACACTCAGTAAAGGGCCAGGGACAGGCTGGTCTCGTTTCTGCCCCTCCCAGAAAGTCACAGCTGAGGCACGGGGGTTGGGGTGCGAAGGGCAGCTTGACGTTGCCTCCTCGGGATGCTGTAGAGGAGCAAAGAGAACCAACCTTGCTGGGGAGGGGCGGGGGGAAGAGGATTCCTGCTGTAACATGTGCATGCCCACGCCCAGCTGCGCTCACCCTCTGTATGTTCCAGCCCTTTCCACCAGCCCCGGGGCTGGCTTGTCTAGTTAGGCTGTAAGCTCTTTGATGCGAGGATTGTGCGTTGTGTGTGCAGCATCCAGTACAGGAGCCCCGATCTAAGCTGGGGGTCCCCTTAGCACTACTGGACTACATGCACTAACTGTTTCAGACTCTCTGCAAACTCAGGCGGGCATCTCTGCAGCGGAAGTGGGTTTTCTTTGCACTCGTAACACCTAGAGATTGAGTTTTTGAAAATATCTTCTGCTGAGACTGTGGAGAAGGTGGTCTGTGCGTGCCCCACCCCCTCCATAGGGTTCTGGAATCAAGCCCCAAAACACTGGGCTGAACTGCCAAAGTCATCTCCCAGCAATCACTGGGGTCACTTGGCTGGACTCTCTGGGGTCACAGCTCCCAAGTCCTGGCCTGGAATCAGGAGGGATTAGTGCAGATTGAGTCCAGGCTGCGTCTACCCAGCAGGTCACAGAGAGTTTGTTTCCCACTCCTGGCTTAGCTCCTGTCATCCGTTCCCCACTGGCAGTGCAGGAGTGTTTTATTTCAGGCCCAGGGATTGCAGTTGCAGCAGGGAGCAGGGGGTGGACTGGTGAACCTCAAACTATCCCGGCCCAAGCTATTGCAAACTGGGTTTTGCCCTGGAAAAGCAATGGCCTGGAAAAGCCAAGCCCTCTGACAGCCAGCACCTGAGTGGGCTGGGAGGGTAGGAACAGAAGGATGGATCCTCTGTGGGTATAAAGGGTGCAGCACCATGCAGCCGTCAGCTCAGGAGGTGGACTAGAATATATAGCACCCATGGTTCTATTTCACCAAAAACTGCACCACAGCTAACTTTGTTCTGCGGCGGGGCTGGATGGGCTGTAGAGCAGTGGGGGGGTCTTCTGGCCACCGAGCTGATGCCCGTGACCCAACGGAGCTGGAGATGAGGGGTTTGGGGAGTGGGAGGGGCTCAGGGCTGGGGCAGAGGGTTGGGGTGTGGGGGTGAGGGCTGTGGGTTTGGGGTGCAGGAGAGTGCTCTGTTTGTGGGGGCTCAGGGCTGGGGCAGAGGGTGCAGGCTCAGGGCTGGGGCCAGGGATGAAGGGTTTGGGGTGCAGGAAGGGACTGGGGTGGGGGGGCTCAGGGCTGGGGTAGGGGATTGGGGCACAGGCTTGCCTCAGTGGTGCAGCGGGGGTGCTAAGGCAGGCTTCCTGCCTGTCCTGGCACCGCGGATCACGCTGTGTCCCAGAAGTGGCCAGCAGCAGGTCTGGCTCCTAGGCGGAGGCACGCAAGTGGATCCGCGTGGATCTCGCCTGTGGGCACCACCCACCTCACCCCCTCAGCTCCCATTGGCTGGCTTCCGGCCAATGGGAGTGCAGAATCAGTGCTCGTGGCGGGGGCAGCATGCGGAACCCTGTGGCCGCCCCGCCTAGGAGCCGGACCTACTGCTGGCTGCATCCAGGGCTCAGTGCGATGTCAGAACAGGTAGGGACCGACGGGACTTTTAACTGCCTGGTGGGCTGTGCTGACCGGAGCTGCTGCAACCCACTGCCTTCCATTCTGCACCCCAGTATTGGGTCACAACCCGCAGTTTGCAAACCACTGGTGTAGAGCAGCAGCAGTGATTCAGCCTAGAGCAAACCAGCTGCAAATTCTCCAACCTAGGATGCACCCCAGCCTCCCGCGTTCTTGTGCTAACACTAACGGAGCCGCCAGTTGCAGGATCTCTGCCGCTGGAGGCCAAGCTGTTGAAATTCAAGTCCTCTCTCCAAAAGCCCGTCAAAGCCGATGGCCGAGCATGTTTGATGCCCTGCAAGCAGTCGAGGAATCCGTGGCGAAGGAGAGGGATTGGTTCCACAAGCAGAGCACCCCACATATGGTTACTGACTTTGGCTCTAAAGTAAGGCCAGGACTAAAAAACAGGAGGTTTAGTGGCATCCCAGCAAACAGGGAAAGAAAAACAAATAAGGAGGATAGGGATAAGATAGAGATAAGAGGGAAGGTGCGCTCATGGACTGGTAACTGGTTAAAAGATAGGAAACAAAGGGTAGGAATAAACGATCAGTTTTCAGAATGGAGAGAGGTAAATAGTGGTGTCCTCCAGGGATCTGTACCGGAACCAGTCCTATTCCACATATTTATAAATAATCTGGAAAAAGGGGTAAATAATGAGGTGGCAAAATTTGCAGATACAAAATTACTAAAGATAGTTAAGACCCAGGCAGACTGTGAAGAGCTACAAAAGGATCTCACAAACTGGGTGACTGTGCAACAAAATGGCAGATGAAATTTAATGTTGATTAATGCACATTGGAAAACATAATCCCAACTATACACATACAATGGTGGGGTCTAAATTAGGTGTTACCTCTCAAGAAAGAGATCTTGGAGTCATTGTGGATAGTTCTCTGAAAACATCCACTCAGTGTGCAGCAGCAGTCAAAAAAGCGAACAGAATGCTGGGAATAATTAAGAAAGGGATAGATAATAGGACAGAAATATTATGTTGCCTCTATATAAATCCATGGTACGCCCACACCTTGAATACTGCGTGCAGATGTGGTCGCCCCATCTCAAAACAGATATATTGGAATTGGAAAAGGTTCAGAAAAGGGCAATAAAAATTATTAGGGGTATGGAACAGCTTCAATATGAGGAGAGATTAATAAGACTGGGACTTTTCAGCTTGGAAAAGAGATGGCTAAGGGGAGATATGATTGAGGTCTATAAAATCATGACTGGTGTAGAGAAAGTAGATAAGGAAGTGTTGTTTACTACTTCTCATAACTCAAGAACTAGGGGTCACCAAATGAAATTAATAGGCAGCGGGTTTAAAACAAACAAAAGGAAGTATTTCTTCACACAACACACAGTCAACCTGTAGAACTCCTTGCCAGAGGATGTTGTGAAGGCCAAGATCATAACAGGGTTCAAAAAAGAACTAGATAAGTTCACGGAGGATAGGTCCAGCAATGGCTATTAGCCAGGATGGGCAGGGATAGTGTCTTAGCCTTTGTTTGCCAGAAGCTGGGAATGAGCAACAGGGGATGGATCACTTGATGATCACCTGCTCTGTTCATTCCCTCTGGGGCACCTGGCACTGGCCACTGTTGGAAGACAGGATACTGGGCTAGATGGACCCTTGGTCTGACCCAGTCTGGCCGTTCTTATGTCCGGTCTAAAAGCGAGTGAACACCAAATACAGTCAGTTTGCATTAAGCAAGAGCTGAGTGATGAATGCTTGAAATTCTGTACAGTTCCCAGCTGTCGACTTGTTTGTCCCACTGTGTGTCCTATTTCTAGATGCATCCTGGGGGTTCAAACCCTTCAATCTCCTTCCTTGGACAGTTCGTAGCACCACCAAGTCTAGGCTCATCCAATTAAATCATCGGGATGTGGGCCATGCCGCAGCTGCAAACTTTCCTGCTTAGCGCTGTGCTTTTTGGCTGTCCATTTTAAAAGATCAACATGCTCAAGTTTCTGGCTAGGGAGATCTTCCCAGTGGCATCTTAGGGAACTGGACAGGTTTGCATTAGGCCAGGGATTATACTGACCTGGGAGATGTCCCAAACTGCGATCTCCCTTCAGCAGCGGGGGCAGCAGAGCTGTGAAAGCAATATCCTTTCACCGGGTAATGGAAGTGGAGCTGCTCTGGGCTAAGTTATAAACCCTGCATGCTGGTCTGGCGATTGCGATGTTACTGGGGGACTAGATTGGTTTCGTTTAATGAGGGTGCAGCTGTAAGGAATAACAGCTCCAGCTAAGCCATTTCTCAGCAAACACGTGAGAAGTCAAGAGACAGCGTCCGGCTGGGAAGAGGCCTGGGAACCAGATGGTAGCAGCTTCAAGGCCAGATCAGCTAGACCCCTCTAGCACAGGCCATTAAACGCAACACCCACACAACAAGCCAACACCCAGAATCAGACCATTGCACGGGGGCATTGTGGGGGAGCTGTTCAGGGAGGTCTTTGGGGGAACTGGTGTGTGCGAAGTCAGGCCT